CTCACTCTTCTTACTGAAGCAATGCATCCCCCCTCAACCACCCATCTCCACAGTGACCTCCTTCAGGAAACCTCTGCAGGCCCAGCCTAGCTGAAGGTCTATTGCATCGTCTGGGATTTCAAGGATCCTACTACATACCTCTATCACCGATATCATTCCCATCTGATGACGTCATCTCAATAGCTTTGTAACGCTAGTGTCTGGACGCAACCCCAAGCTTGGGATCCTACTATTCCCACTGTCTTTTTCAATGAAGCTGCTCCCAAGTTGGCAACCTTGGCGCTCTTCTCTTCCTGTATACTCTTTAGTATAGACCCAAATACTAAGGCTCAACGAGGAAGGTTAATTTATTTGTAAATCCTGTAATATCTCCTCTGTCTAAAATAGCTTCCTTCCTTCCTTCCTTAAGTGTACTCCCATTCATCCTTCTTAACTCACCTACTGCCTCCTCTGAGAACTGTTCACAGTACCTTTTACTTGCCTCTACACAATCACTTACGCCAACATATTGTAACTCCTTCCATCACTATTCCCGCCAGACTATCAACCCCGAACAGAAACGGTCAGGCTTAGTTTTTCAACCAAGTTGTTCAGATCAGAGGCTGACAGAAAGGTTTCAATAAATAATTCTTGAGTAAGTGAACAATTATGATCGTGACTGATGGAAAAATATACATATTCTACTTTATATGGTTTGATCTTCATTTTACTATTGATTTTGACACACCCAACCTCATCCAGCCTCGCTCTTAGGGCTTTAAAAGGTGAAGTGCACAAAGCGGTTGCTTTTCCCCAAGAGTACATGGGAGCCAATGAGCAGAGCAGTACTTCTGGAAACCACTGGCAGCTCTCTAAGTCCAGTGTTGCTTGCTGTTCTTCCCCTTTTCTCCGAGTTGCAAAGATTTCCAAAAGATGCCAGAACATTGGTGTTACTATAGTGCCATGAAATTGTTCATATGCAAAGACACAAGAACGCTAAGTAACTCTCACTCAGCAATGTATACTTTATTATAAACATAGTTGAAGCTAATGTATTGTCATTGAGAAATGTGGCTACTCCTCACAAAATTTTCCAAGGATTCAGGCCAGCAAGGCAATTCCAATTCATCCTGGCCCGACAGGACAGAGCGGAGCTGCTCTACAGGGAGCGTTTCCAAGGCTGAAAATCGTTATGCAAGCACACTGCCTCCTCTTTCCTCTATGTAGCAGCTGGTGAGTCCACTGCGACCTTTCAGCTGAGTCCACACTTACTCCACTGTGTCACCGTGGCTCTTCTGCACATGCTAATCTCTATAACTTAAAGGAAAGGTCATCACTTCAATCAAAAAAAGACAAACAATCCAATTTAAAAATAGGCAGAGGACATGAACAGGCACTTAACCCAAGAAAACATCCAGGTGGCCAGCACACAAAATGCTCTCGATCGTTATGCATGCGTGAGACCCTGATCAGAAAGAGATCCATGCGTGAGACCCTCATCAGAAAGAGATCTCCACCAATCAGCAAAAAGAGCAAACTTCAGCAAAACAAAGTGCTGGTGAGGGACAGCGAGATTCGAACTCTTATATACTGCTTGTGGAACTGTAAAATGGTGCAATCACAGTGGAAAATGGTAGGGTGCTTCCTCAAGTGCATTAGAAATACGATAAAAATCTAACAATCTCACTACCCTCACTCGCTGCCATCACTCACTCAGTGACTGCTGAGCATCCCAACAGCGTAAAGTTCTTCAGATTCATTGTGTTGGTGCTTCATGAATTCCTCATTACCCTTTAAAGTACGTAGTATTCCATTGTGTGCACAAGTCTAGTTTATCTGCTCAATGTTGATGGGCATTTAGGTTGTTTCCACTTTTTTACTATTGTGAATAGTATTGAGAT